GTAATGCTAGTTGTAAGATTTTACCTTCATCTATTTTGTCAACCTCTTCCGCGTCCTCCTCATCTAATGATGGTCTAGAATCACCTCGAATCCAATCTGAGCTACAAATTAAGGCCTCCACTATTCTAGGAGTCAATGAACTTCTGAAATCATCGAGAATCCTCCCACCGGCACTAAATGCAGATTCGGATGCAACGGTAGAAATTGGGACCGCTAGAACATCCTTAGCCATCATAGAAAGGGCTGGAAACCTCGAACAATTAACCTTCCACCAACCTAATACATCAAAGTTCATCTCCATCGGCTCATCAGCTTCACGAAGGTATCTTTCAAGCTCAGATTTGTTCACCGCCCCATCAATTTGCTCTCTATGTCGTTTATACTCAGCAAGAACATCAATCACATCATTACCACACTCCTCCACAATAGGAGTCAAAGTAGCAGTAGAAGCACCCTTATGTTGTTTTGACTTCCACACTTGTTCATAGTGAGCAAAGAGCTCAAATGTCGCCTTGCGCACATCTTCTGCCATACGTCCTCCCTTGCCATCTTCAGGATAGACCCTCTTCAACCCGTACTCCAGAAATCCCAGCTTGTACCTCGGGTCCATTACAGTGGCAATGTAGAGTAACTCTAAGTTCAATAGTTGCTGAGTGGTACCTTTTATGCTCCTACAACCTCTTCGCATGTGAGCATTCATGGCATTGGTACCATTCTTTTGTGGATCAGCATCATACTCAATCCCACAAATGTCGCACCTTGACTTCTTATTGCCGTCCTTGTCATTGAACTTTGAGAACTGCTTCCAACATGGAGCACGTGGCTCCATATCTTTCCTTTTTGAGGATCGAATATGTGTTGTAGAACGAACACCAGCAGGAGGAGCTGAAGGATCACCACCCTCGGGCTCGGGAACTTCATTCTCTGATGATTCTTGGTCCTAAATCATCCAAACACAAACATAAATCAATTAGCTAGCTATCTTTTTCTGTTGGAGTACTTCTTAACCATCCCTTGTTCTAGAGGAATGTAAAGTGAAAATAATTGGTTCCTAGCCAATTAATGAAATTGCAGATTTATCTTTACAAAAAAGAGTACTCATCATCCCTAAACACTGGAGTACTTCTTAACTTCATTCTCTGATGATTCCTAGCCAATTAATGAAATTGCAGATGGGAAACAAACATCAAAAAGATCCTTCGAAATAACATCTACCAACACAAAATATTCACTCTAGGATCCATGATCCCCTGCTGTCTTTTTTCTTGGTTTTTTTTTATGCTAGCTAGCTTCATTTTACAGAATAGACATCACTACTACTAATGGAACATATTGATGAATGATTGTTTCCAAATATCGGATAGTAAAATCGCAAACTAAAAATCATTTCAAAACTGGAAAATGGAAATAGATAGTTACCAAAACATGAACATTCTCGGTTGCAATATTTGGACCGTCAGTGTGAGAAGAGCTGCCAGGATTTTTTCGTTTGCTGGATTTTCGATTGGTGGTGCTCATGGCTTTCGATGGAGAGAAATGGGCAGATGGCTACTGTGGTGATTTTTCAGTGGTCAGTTGCCGACTGCCGTCGACGAGGGGCGACAATGGGGGCCTGCGCCTGCACTACTGGAAGCTGGATGGTGGTGGCTGTCGTGCTCTGCTCTGCTACCCCCGGCGCCGGCGGTGACTCATGGTGCAGAGATGGAGGGCGGCGACTCTCGAGACTCGAGTTGTTGTTGGGAGGCAGGCGTGGCGGCGACTGGCAATCAGTGATGGGAGGGCGGCGGCGTCGGCGACTGAGGGTCGGGAGACGGAACGGAATGGAGTGGAGTGTGGAGAGCAGTGGAGTGGAGCTGTGGAGGGACGATTCACGATCGATTCGAAGGAGACTCTGGAGAGTGGAGAGGAGAGGGGCAGAGGGCGAGTCCGAGAGGAGAGGCGGAGAGGGTTAGGGTTTGTTTCTTTTGGGTTGGGTGCTGGGCTGGGTTTGTTTCCAATGGGAGGCTGGCTGCTGGGCTCGATTTCTTCAATTGGGTTTGGGCTTGCAGCCCTTGTCCCTTGGCCCATTACCAGCTTATAAACAATTTCGGTTTACGGTTCGGAAAACGGAATTCGGTTTCGGGTGGTACCACCATGTATTCCGAATTAGAAGAATTTTGCATCCGAATCCCGATCCGAAATGAAGGAAATTCGGTTTCGGTCGGTTCGGTTCGGTTCGGAGAGTTAAAACCGAACCGGACGCCCACCCCTAGGAAGGAGAGTCAAAATCTCAAACGACGCGGCACAGAAAGCCAGCTTGTTGACCCGCTCTCTCGGTCAAACTGTCCGGGTTTGATCGACTTTATCGGGTTTGATCGTATTTGATCAATCCGGGTGGATGCTTTATTGGGTTGCTGGCGCTCATTTTTGTGAGCAGATCCGAATCAAACCGTGTCAACCCGCGAATTGACAACCTTGCATAAATTGATCATTATGCTCACAAAGATATTCAATTTAACTATTTCTTAAGCTATCGATCTAGTAACACTACATCTCGTTTGATCCACTTGAATCAAGTTATGTAGTAGCCACTAGGGTGGGCACGGGGTGGTTAATTCGCGGATTGATATCAATTCACCCGCAAATAAACCTACCCACAAGCAGTGGGTGATTGATGTGGGTGGATTACGGATTGATAAATCTCTCACCCGCACTTATGTGGGTGGATTGCGGGTCAGTCGAATGACCCACATCCTATTTTCACATGATTTTTTTTGTTTCTTATAGTATCAAATATTCATCATATTTCTGAACCGTACTACAGCCTGACCATATACTTCTAAAAGTCGAGAATAAAGCATAGTTTTTGACTACTATTATTGGTTACCGTGTTGTATAATATCCATCAGATATTGCATATTAAAATACATATTATTGTTAATATCCATTAAATATTATTAATACGACCCTAGGGGGTGTATTTTTATCAAAGTCACGCAGCAAACAATCAATCCTAAGATTGATTGAACTCAAATCAAGAACAACGCGTTCTTAATACGAACTTGGATAAAACGGAACCAAAAGGACAAATCCACACCTGGGGATAGCTCGATTGATATAAAAAGGGTAGTTGCTCGACCATGATTGAAGTGACTATTCAATCGATACACAAGCTCAGCAAGTTTGGAATCCTCCAAACCAAATCAAGTTCGCAAACTTGAACAAACCAAACGGTTTCTTTTCGATTAATCAACTCCTGTGTTTTTACAACAAAATAGAACAGTATTTAAAGGCAAATAAACCTAATACAATCCTAATAGAGCTAGGCAACAATTAAGGTAAAAGTCTACACTAAAAAGGACACAAAAATTCGGGTTTAAACTCCCTTTCTTGAAGCACAAGCAAACTACCAGCAAACAGTCAAAGGCAGTTTTCGTACTAACTTCGTGCCATTCGTTCAAAGCCATCTTGAACTCCAATCCTTCATCCAATTCCTTCCCTTTGTATATAAACATACCTAGTTTCATGTTGTGGAAGCCTTTGGACTTGAATCAGATTCATACTCCTCGAATCAAGCTCCAAAGTAGGCTTCACAAAACAGTTTACAGACTTAACCATTTTCTGGCAGTTTTCCAGTTTTGAGGTAGCAACTTTGAGGCCTTGGAAAACAACCTTAATGATATCTTCTGGATCCACAAAGCATACCATTGGAAAGATGGTAACTTTATCTGAAAAAAACCCTTAAAAATGAATTTCCACCAAGCCAATTGAGAGAACCATGCCTCCAAAGTATGTACCCTGAACACGGATTTTGACTTAGCCAAATTCTGCCCTTCTTCCCAACTTCAATAGCTTCTTTGTCATGTAATTGTGACGTAAATGGTTGGCAATTTGAGATCATATCAATTATGATGAAAACTATAAATTATTAACGGTATCAAAATCACAAAATGCGTAGTTTTTCTCTACACAATTGGTTCATAAAGTAGTAAATTTTTTAATGAAAATACTACATGGATTCACTTGAGACAAAGTGAGGAGTGTTTAAATTGATAGAATCTTACTAATTTACTATGAACTTATTATAAATGTTAGTCAGCTTTCTTAATGGCTAATTGTAGAATTGCTTTTGCGGGTTAACCACAAACCAACTACACCCATCCGCCGCCCACCCAACCCGACCCAAATAAGAATGTGGGTGGAGTGTGGGTCACAATTATTCCAACTCACTAGTAAGTGGGTCATAAGGACACTTCACCGAAACGACTACCATTTGGGAAGGCAGGAACTTGCAGAGGAGAATACAGGCTACAACTAGGAGTGGAAATCGGTACGGTATAGGTATCCCAATACCAAATACCGAAATTCCGAATACCGAATTACACCGCAAAACCAATCCCAATCCCAATCGCTAAATAATTTTGGTATCCCAATCCCAATCTCTAAATATTTTCGGTATCCCAATCGGTATTATTGAATACGAAATTAGTTAAATTTACAATTAATGATTAAATAAATAAATTAAATTTGATTGTTTAATTTACACCCAAGAGACTAAAAAGGTTCTACAAAAAAAAAAGACTAAAAAGGGAGTTTGATCTTTACTAGAGTTGAGGACATTTGATTGTTTAATATTAGCTGCTTCCTATACCACTTGCCGATCGGGATTGGACCTTTATCCTACCAATCATACAAGTTCAAAAGAAAAATGTTCTGATGGGACATTTCAATCGAACTTCATCGGATCCCACCAGATCCAATGCACTTATGGTCCAGTGTTGGATTCTATGATTTGTTTCATTAATGGACCGTGTTTCTAATGAATATAAACAATCAAATATGGACATGCATAATGTTAATCGGCCAACGGGCCGAGTTATAAGCTAGTACACTCATAAGCTGGTTTCTTGTTCAGTGACTTCCGTTTTCCGTTATAATGTGTTTGACTGCTATAGGCCCTTTGCTAGATGTTGACTCATTATTAATTTCATTTTCTTTCGAGGACAATTCGCAGTGTGCTTATGTCAAATTTGATGAAGAAGGCGGCTCCAGCATTTACTAACAAAGAAGAGGTTTCAACAAGAGAGTATGAATTGGTACGTGAGGCTCTTTTCACTGATGAAGATGACCAAAGTGGCTGGTTCTATCATCTTTGGCTTCTTGATCAAACTGTCAGATCTGAGTTCCCTCTGCTTGTCTCTTCATGGCCTGTCGAAGGTTCTGATATTTCCCCGCCAGCAGCTGATCGTCTGGATGGTTGTGCTTCTGTGAATGTGTTCCATTACAGTTCCAGAAATTTTCCTCTCATTCTTTACTTCAACCAATCTGTCGGAGGTGTAAACTCATCTACTGTCAGTGTTTCGTGTGGGTTTAACCTAAACGCTGATCTGATCTGGAAACCTCTTTCTTCGAATGACTCTCAATGTGCAAAAGTTTGGGCTACGCGTTTAGCCATCCCTGATGCCGAGCTTCATTCTTCAGAACCTCACCAGGTGGAGGTTAAAGTTGGATATTCACTAGGAATTGTTTCAACTACTGGTGTAGCATATAGCCATCCTTCTCATATTTCATTTCATCTGCACTTACAACAAAAGCCCCCACTTGAATCTAGACAAGAGTCAAGGTTAGGGAGAATTCAGTGGAAAGATGATTGTTTTGCTGATTATGAACCTGGTTCTGCAGAACCTGATTTGGTTAACCTTCTTGACAATCTAACAATCAAGAATGAGCTAGAGCCAACAGCCTCAACATGGAAAGCGAGAATCATTGATGACGAGACTAATATTTTTGTGACTTATTGGACTGTTAATAACCTTGCATTATACTATGTTGGCCTCAGTATTCTCTTTCTGGGGGAGTTTAACTGTGAAAAAATTGATAATGTGTTTTTTCTTTTCTTTTCTTTTTCTAGCAAAATTGGGAAGCTGACAGTGGCCAGGCTGTTGACTGCTTACGATTTGTTGAGACCTTTGGACAAACCAGTCCATTGTGAGGAAGTTTTAGAGCTATACAGTGAGCTAATAAAGTTGGACCCTTCTCACTATAGATATTACAAAGATAACCACAGCTTGGTTTTATTGCAACAGGTTGGTTCTCATTCCTCTTTGACATTTATGTCTGTAAATGCAAATGAGAAAAAAGATGTTCATTAGTTCTCTTTGTCAAAAGAGATGCTTTGTGAATTTTACAATCTTTGATTGGTACGGAATTCGGAAATTGATCTGCCAACAATTTCTGCAGGTGACATCTAGTAAGGAGTCTTTGCCGAGTCATTGTTTTCACTATAGGGACTCAACTCTGTTAACCAGTGGGGGTCCCTTGTGTTTGCGACTAAACAACTTAGCAATTTCACAATTGGGATCTTTTGGGAAGTTGCTATGGGTTCAAGTGCTAGACCTCAGCAAAAATGAACTTCAATCGATTGAAGGTAAACCATTTTGTTTCTTCCCATTGAGACTTATCAACAGGTTCCTTCTATCTAAATATATCGATCCGCCTCTAGTCTCTAATCTATTAACTTTCCTGCTCAAACTCATAGCAATTTTTTTCTTCTTCTTCTTCTTAGATCACTCTTATTATACCTATCTGTTATTGTTGAGGTGCTTTCTATCATGTGTTTAATCTTACCACAAGATTGGAGGCTCTACAACATCTCTCACAATTGTGTTTGAGTAACAACAAATTCAAGAGTTTTACTGCTTTGGAGTCTCTAAGATATTTGAAGTCACTGAAAGTGTTGGATATTTCGCAAAACGAAATAGGTTCTCATTCCATTGACACCACCAGATATCTATTCTGTTCTCCATTGTCCCATTCAATGGGAAGTTGTGATTGGAATATCAATGATCTCTGTTCAAAAACCTACCGGGAAGCTTTTTTCGTTCTCAAAGACATGGGGCTAACTCAGTTGGCCGTGGCTGGGAATGCAATCGGTAGTGGAAGTTTTAATGTGTTCCTGGAAAAGCACCTGCCCACTCTCAAGTGGCTGGATGGTGTACAAGTAAACTAATTTTTATCATGGTGGGAGATCTCAGGCGGAAGCAGGTAAAAAGCCTAAAATACTGTTGTTGCTGCTTCTCTGTGATTATCATGCATTTCCTAGTTTCCAAGTTGACATTGCATTCTGACCCATAATTCAGGTGAGCAAGTTTACTTGCCGAGGTGAATCTTAACTAGACTGATGTGGCGGGATGAGGAGCAAGCTTCAGCGGCTAGTGCTACAGGTATAAACAGTGGCGGACCCAGGATTGCCAAAGAGGGGTGTCGCCGAAAAAAATAAAAAAATAAAAAAAAAATAAAAATTATTAGAAATTAATTCATAAGTTCATAATGTCACGTTTACAATGAACCACGACGACTTTTCATATTCTGAAATGTTTCTAGAATACATTCATCGCTTAAGTTGCAAAATATAGCTTTTTCAGTATACACAACTAAACAATCATTCATAAATTGGTCACTCAACCGATTTCGAAGATCGTTCTTGATGATCTTCATAGCTGAAAATGCTCTTTCACAGCTTGCAGTTGCAACAGGTAAAGTCAACACCAACTTCAGAAGCAAGAAAACTAAAGGATATAAAGTATCATTTTCTCTCTCCACCAATTTTCTAGCTAGCTCGTTGATTCCCCGCAATCCATCAAAGCTCTTATCTTCCTTGACATGAGAAATGTAGCCCCTTAATTGTTGATCAAGTCTTGAGTGCATATTGGATGGTAATTCCTCAGGATAAAACTCAGTAAGACTCATCAACTTTGCTTTATCAAAAGCAGCAAAAGAGTTAGTTGGACTAAAACAAGAAATGCAGTCCAACAATCGAGTATTCACCTGACCAAATCGAGTATTCAATTCTTGCAATTGCATATCAATGACTTCATAAAATAGCTCGACTTGATAGTCATGCAAGTTTGTGGGCTGATGAGGGAGGGGTACTACGACTTGTTCTTCCAGCAAGAGTGAACAAGTCATTCATATTAGGAACATTAATTTGTTCCTTAATGCAGAATGAAATCACATCATCAAGTAGAGGCTCCCATCCTACATCTCTCAACTCTTGGAATCTCTTCTTTGAACACCTAATTAGTTCCATAGCATTAACAAGGTCTTGATCTTTCCTTTGTAATGTTATAGACAACTCATTTGTAATTGCAAGCACTTCAATCATCAACTTGATGTGAAAGACAAACTCAAAAGTTTGAATTTGAAGTAGAGAACTAATGGCTTTACCTTGTATCTCCGGTGAACAACCACATTGTATCTCATTCAATACATCAACCACTGAACTGAACATGTCCATAAGATTTGTAAGTGCCCAAATATGAGATCCCCAACAAGTATCACCAGGCCTTTTCAAGCCAATTTGTTGATTCAATCCTTGTCCACTCTCTAGATCACCAACAGATAAAGCCTCAATAACTCTTGTAGCATGCTTATCTCGAAGAGAATCAACCCTCTTAGGTGATCCCCCAATGACATTGAGCAATAAAGTAAAATGCTCAAAGAAACGATTATTGAGCACATGATTTCTTGCAACAACAACTAATGTCAACTGAAGTTGATGAGCAAAGCAATGAATGTAATGAGCAGATGAATTCTCAGCCAAGATCAAGGATTTCAATCCATTGATTTCACCTCTCATGTTACTAGCCCATCATATCCTTGCCCCCTCACCCTTGACAAACTTAGCCCATGCAATGCAAGAATTGATTCAATCTCCTTCTTGAGTGCAGAAGTTGGAAGTTGGAAGGAGATGTCACTTGTTGAAGGAGTGCCGCCGGCCAGCTTGAATGATTGGCTGCCTGCGATGCGACAGTCGCCGCGGGCACAAGTCGGAAGAGGCGGGCAGCAGGCGCAGCTATCTTCCTCTCCTCTCGGCTCTCGCACTCGCAGTAAGAAACAGAGGCAATTCCAAGTTTAATGGGAAAAGGGGTGGGTGGGTCTCTCGCCTCTGTAGTCTTTAGAATAGATAGGTTTTTTTTTGTTTTTAACAATCAAATGGGTAAAATGGAGGGTTGGAACGCAGCGTTTGTTAATGGGGGTTATAACTATTTTTTTTTATAACGTTAATGGGGTTATATGGGGTGCTTTACTGCTGTTTGTGTGTGGGGTGGAATTTTATGGTGAAGGGTTATTTAGACTAAACCAAAATTATTTTACTTATTATGAATAATTAAACATTAAGATGAATACATTTATAACAATAAATAATTTCTAGTATAATGAATGGGTTCGTCTATAATTATTAGAGCGGTGTCGGAAATTTCGTATTAAAATTTTTTATACCGAAAAAATATAGGTCCGTCACAAAAATTCCGGGCGAAGGGGTGTCGGACGACACCCCTAGCCAACACACAAGTCCGCTCCTGGGTATAAAGACTCTCTGTTAAGAACTGGGTGTGAGGTTATTAAGAAGCTTGACTGACTTCCTTCCAGTGGTATAGCCTGCATTTGGAAGATGGAATCATCCAATACATAGGGTTGATAGACTTTTATGCTATTCGTTTATTTTTCTTACACTTTGATGATATGATATATGATGGAACACCTTGCCCTAGTCATTGCTCTCTTGAGTCTTGACTTTCACAGTTGCACCCCCGCCAGGATTCGAGGAGTCAAGTATGAAGGCTTTCTTTTGGGTTGAAACCTATTACATGATTGCCCAACTTTTTTGTTGCTTGGTTAGGGGACTTCTGTGCTAGTAGCTGTCATGTTTCATAATCCGCTCACGTCAGATACGACCAGCCAACATGGTCAGATGCGATACGATACGAGTAACCTTCAACGGCTCACAAGAAGGAACAGATCGTGTTGGCTGGTCCTATTAACTCTCGAATTCATTTCCGGACAGTCATGATAACATCATATTACTAAGCTAAACATTCCAAATTGTAATCATAATAATGCCAGCACTGGAACCTTACAGGGTCTTATTAAATATGCCTACAACCAGCCTACATTGGCCATTCATGCTAGTCTATCTACATCTACATAATAAATAATAAATAAAAATCAAATGAGAAAATTTGAAGTCAAATTTCAAATTTTCTAGATCCAGAATGAAAGTAGGAGTAGATTTGTCTTCACAATCATTTATTATTTTCTTATTTACAGAAAAATTACATCAATAATGAGATTTGAACCGTGATATCTTCGAACAAAGATAAGAAACATAACCAGTTACAATAAACACATTTGTATGATCTTTTTCAATTAAAAACAGGAAGTTTAAATCTAAAAAATCTTAAGACTTTTCCACTACGGTTAGCAAGCGAAATGTCATTGATTCAAATATTGCATATCGAATTGCACTATTGAATGTGTAGAAGCGATGTAGAATTCTTAACATAGACTTAATTGTTATAACTACCATAAAGTAACGATATTTTTAAACATAGAACTTTTGAGTGAATATGGGCATATCTGCCTTTAAGAGACGGGTAAATATGGAAAGGTTGAGTGATGTTGGTTTGCCGAACGCGGATGGAAAATAGGGCTGAAATTTTGAATGACCCGGCCCTGACCCGCCCCTAAAGGGTCAAGGCACATAAGTGACCCACCCCTAACCATGTCTCCTTCTTGACCCTATATGACCCTTTAGGGTCGGGGCGGGTCGGAAAGGGTTGGGTCAGTGGGTCGACCCTAATAAATATTCTAATTAATCACCAAAATTAATTAATTAGGAACTTAATCTAAAAAATTATTTATTTATCAAATTAATTTCACAAAATTAATTAATCACCAAACTTATTCTCAAAAAATATTCAATCACAAAAATAATTCCAGAAAATTAATTAATAAACACAATAATTTCAGAAAACTATTTATTTACCAAATTATTTCCATTATTTATCAGATTAATTCCATAAAATTAATTAATCACCAAAATTATTCCAAAAAATTATTCAATCACAAAAATAATTCCAGAAAATTAATTAATCACCACAATAATTCCAAAAAATTTATTTATTTACCAAATTAAATCCAAATAATCATTTATTTATCAAATTAATTCCAAAAAATCATTTATTTACCAAATTAATCCCATAAAATTAATCAATCACCAAAATATTTCAAAAAATTATTTATTTACCAAATTACTCCCATAAAATATGTGTTTGATGAAAGGGTGTAAAGACGAAGGAGATGCATGATGGATAGGTCATCAATTCCGACAAATCATGATACCAATGGGCAACCATTCATTTAAAAGTCCAAATCACTACAAATCACTACAAAGTACAAATACATCGTTGATTACATAATACATTGTTGTTCCATCATCGTCAACCAAATCACTCATGATAGTACCCTCATCCAAGCAAAATTCTTTCAACTCTGCAAAATTAACAACACACTAAATAAATTAATAATTATCTTTTATATAAGAAAATTAATAATTATCTTAACAAATAGCGAATGATAAAAAAATTATATTTCATACCTTGTTCAAGTTCTTCAATTTCTTCAAATTGCTCTTCCATGTCAATTGGAAGAGTACTCGACCGAAGCCAATTTTGATCACAAATCAAACTTTCAACAACCAAGGGAGTCAAAGAACTCCGAAATGTATCTAAAACGCGCCCCCGGTACTGAAAGCAGACTCAGATGCAACACTTGATACTGGAATCGCCAACACATCTCTAGCCATCAAACTCAGTATTGGATACTCACCAGAATGCTTCTTCCACCATGCTAAAATGTCAAATGTTTTGTCCTCATCATCCTCAAGATTCGCCTTTAAGTACCTCTCAAGCTCTGAAAGTGTAGTTTCTCCCACCCTATCTTCCATTCTCTTTCTCTTGAATTTTTTCTTCAAATAATCCTCCACACTTTCAGATTCATCATTCTCATTTGGTGCTATACTCACCGCACTTCTTGATGAGCTTCCACTAGTAACCCCTCTCATTTCATAATAGTCCTTGAACATATCCTCCAAAACACCATTCACACTTTCAAATAACTCATTTTTAGTCTAAATTCCCCCATGTTCTATTCCATAAACCTCATCAA